TTAGAAAAGCTTCAGAAATGATAGATTAGGGGATTTTGATAATAAATTAACCTCAACCCTGCCATGCTGTGATACATCAACATATAAATAGGTCAATTTTGTCAGTTACTATTTAGTTGTTAGGTAAGATACTGCAAGTTCAAATCAGCACCCTTTGAAATATACTACCAGAGAAGTCTCATCAACTAAATATATTCCCCAGTTTAACAAAGTTTCCATTTGCAGACTGATGTTATTGTAGAAGAATTGTTGATCATCTTTGTCTTCAGTCTCAAGTCCAAAATTCCTTGATTGAATTGTTAGCTGTCAGTCATCAGTCCAAGGTATTCTTGCTGTTTTTGCAATATATTGAGAATAATGCTGATATATATCAACTCACCAACTGGCTGTAGTTAGGTAGACCACAGCACCACAGAACTGATAACTGTAAACTCCACACCCATTCAACGAATAAACTCTATAAACAAATGTTGGTTGTCTGTCCTGAAAGTGGCTTTTTCTTTCATGACTCACTTTCTTCTGAGGTCATTTCAATCAACTTCACCTAAATATTTCTCAGACATGAATAGGAAAGATAGACTGGTGGCATGATACCCCTAGTAACAGAGGCAGAAGGGAATAATGTTATACAAATTTTTTTTTGTTTTAACAGATTAATTCAAAACATTAAAGTTTAAATTTTTTCATGCTCTTGCTTAATTCCCTTGAATAATATATAACAATTAAATTTTTTGCATTTCTTGTGTTGAAGACCTGTGATTAAAAATAAAATTTACTGCCCAACCCAGTGAGTGAACTCACAACCTTCAGTCAACCAGCTAGAGACTTGAGCTTTTAATGTCACCACTCTATTGATTGAATAAGATCACCGAGTAGCGATCTATAAAAGCCAATTTTTTTTTCTAGTGAGTGGTTTGCCTGTTGCACCTTTTGTCATTCAGATTAACCTTCACTAACGATTTTTGTCAGTTGCTTGATTGCTGAGTGTCAAGTTAAAGAGAAGTGAGAAGATACTTAATTTAAATTACAAGACCAGATGGTATTCTCCTGAAAAATAAGAATATATCTGGGATAATTTCTAATATTAGGAAATTATCAGCTTTTTTTTATGAAATTTGCACTTACTACTATCAGGTGTTTTAAAAAAAAAAATTAAAAAAAATTGAATCATTCCCTTTTTTAATCATTGAATCCTGTATCTCTCTCATACAGTGTGATTGTATTTGCCTCTGGAATTAATCTTTTTTTCTTAGATGAAATATTGAGGTTACAATGGTTTATATTCAGATAAAAATATGGTTTATATGCAATCGGATAAGTGTATTGGTTTTACTGGTATTTGAAATTGGTTTGGTTGATTAATCTTTACTTTGAATTTAACAGTAAGCAAAGTGCCCCTTACTACAATCTATCATGCAGTAAACAAATAAAAAAAAAGATTTGTCAGAGGAAATTTTCATATTTCTTATTTAAGAAATCAGTTGGACATTATAGACTTGCAGAAATTAAGTATATAAGGGTAAGTCAAAAATTATCTGCACTTTTGGCATAACATATCTTTAGGCTTGTCACACTGCCTTCTGCTCATTTTTGCTTATAGTTGTTACAGTTGTGGTCATGTGATCGAAGCTTGATCATGCCAGTTTTCTTGCTGTTGTTACAGTGTGCACCAAAGAGGAACAAAGAGAAGTGATCCAAATCTGCAGAGAACATTCTACCTCATTGATGATAACTTACTGGTTTGATGATATCATCTCTTAAGCTTGCGGAATCTTGTTATCAGTGTTGAAGGTTGACAGACTTCCTGTTCCACACTTTTTTGGCCACTTTTAGACTTCTCAATCCATTTGTACACACTTCTACACTGTACTGCACTGTCACCATATTGTATTAAAAACCTTCAATGAATTTTGGGATCACTGCTCTTTGATCCTCACTGGTAGTGGAGTGGCCATGTTTACACATCAGTAAGAAAACTAGTGCAATTCGATCATGTAACCACAATAGTACCAACCATAAGCAGGCATGAGCAGAAGGCAGTGTGACAAGGCTAAAGCTATGTTATGGCAAAAGTGCGAAAAGTGTTTTGATTTACCCTCATTTGTCACTCAATTCCTCAAACTCTTCCATTATCTTCAGAAAAAGTGAGTGCACACTTAAAAGGCCAGAGGCTTAATGCTCTTGCTCATGTGTATGTTGCCATTCCTGTTTCTTGATCTGAATTCACATTTCAACTCAAACACTTTTGTGTTATAAAATAATAAATAATAATAAAGATTATTAGTAAGCCTCATAAAGGGGCTGGTGTTGTTATTCTAGATCAGGCCTGCAAAACTACCATCTATGGTCTGCAAAATTTTTAAAAATAAATTTTTGTGTTACCAGAATAAATATTTCAACTGATTATGTACAAAAAAGTCAGTTTTGTGGTAGCATGGCTATTCAATCAATATTTCATTGTCTTTGCAGCTAAGTAATCTATTTAACTCTCCATAAAACAAGAAGAAATAATTTTCTTTCCACCTCTCTCTCAATATATTTTTTTCTATCCCACTCATATGGGAAATCCTAGTCATTGGTTTTATCCAGACTAGAGTCAGATCAATTACAAGTTTGCAATGCCGTAAAAATGGAAATGGCTGGGTAGGGTATGCAAGCATCTGGTATACCACTGTCCTCTATTTGAAGAAAGTGTATAAGGAGGGGATGTTGAAAAAATCTGATTTCATAAAAGTGTCTCAAAAAAATGATGGTAATCTTGTTAGTTGGAAGGGGAGAGGGACTCAAGAAGGGGGGGAGAAGTCATATTTTCCAATGCTGCTATGTTAGTTATTGTTGCAATTTGGTCAGACAAGGTCATTGTCGTCCAGGATTTGATTGAAACAATTCTTTCTTTAGCAGTTGAAAATGAAATGTCAGTGTTATCTTCATTTTTATGCGATTTAGACGACAATTTATCCATCGCACCATGTGTGTGTGTGTGTGTGTTTTCCCTTGTTTCTGGTTTAGGATTAGGTTTCCAGTTCCTTCTAAATTCTACATCAAATCTATACTTCTAACATCTCTGGCTAAACTCTGAAAATTTGTTTTCCTGTCAGTAGGAGTAGATGGGTTCATACTTCTTCCCAGTCTTTTGAACAGGAATGGAGGTTTCTCCCTGTTTTTCTGTTCCTTCTGAAGTCTTTTCAATCTCTTTCACTCCTAGCATCTTAGTGGCATTATTGCCTTGCTTAGAGTAAATTGATTAATATATAAGAAGAATTATGATTCTTATCACATGATGCTCCATGCGTGTGGTAATCATCATGTATGCCTGATGATTGCTACACATGTGGAACTTTGAATAACATTGTGAAATAAGGATCAGCAATTATAATTCTTTTAAATCTATATTTTAGCTTTTTCATTTTATATAGTGCATGATAAGTGCTAGGAGTTAAAACACAGCATTCGAGTTTGCTGGGAGTGAAAGAGATTGAAAAGAGTTCAGAAGGAACAGAAAACCAGGGATAAACCTCTATTCGTGTTCAAAAGAAGGGAAGAAGTGTGAAAATATCTACTCCTGCTGAGTGGAGGGGGGATTTTCAGAGATGTTAGAAGCATATAGTTAAACAGGAAACAAGGGGAAAACACACATGCACACACACATATATGTATGATGTGATGGGTAAATTGTCCTCTAAATTGCACAAAAATGAAGATAACCACAGCCTCCAGATGACTTTGGAATCTCCTGCAACCCTTCTGAATGGTCTACTTATTTAAGTTGGTGAATGCTGCCATAATCTTTGCCTTCAGTTCATCTTTGGTGTTACAAGGAGTTTTGTTGGTTTCTCGCTCAACTACATCCTATACATAATAACCAAGGGCATTGCAGTCTGGGAGTTAGATGGCCAGATGTAAAGGGTGATATGGTTACAGAAATTGTCTGACAGCTATGATTGGGTTCTGCTCTTTGTGTGGCATGGTTCAGAGTCCGGTTGCCAGACATTGGGTCTTCCAGCAGCCTCTTGACCCAGGGCAGCACTACCTCTTCAAGGCACTTGATGTAGGCCTCTGTGATGAGTCTGAGGCCACCCACAGATTCAGGAGTTCTTTTCTTATCAGAATGATCAGAGTGAATTTTCTGAGCTGCCATACTTTTGTAATCACCATTAGACTCATCCAGCTCTTTCCAAATTCTCTGCACTATCCTCAAATTGATACCCAAAAACTTTGAAATGTTCATCAATGTCAAGCAATACAGCATACTGTTTCCAACTTCCTAGCAGGGTGAATTGTATCATGGTGCACTTTTTCTCACAAACGGTGCCCAACTAACCCTACTATACTCTGCAATTGACAAAATAAAAAACAAACAGCACACGTGCAAAATTAAAAATATAAAATGCCGACATTTTACCCATTGCACTCTGTATATAGTGTGTGTGTGTCTTTTCCTTATTTAAAATATTTTTGCTCTTTTGGTCATGGTGCATGGTTAATTTATTCCCTAAGTTGAGCTCTGAAGAGAGGACTGAAAACTGGTCAGCAGTTTGTACTTATTTTCTCCTCTTTTTTTTTAAATAAACCAATCACAGTAATTATACTTTTTCTTTTTTCATTTTCCTCTCACTTCTATGAAGTATGTCTATTTTAGTGGCAGTAATACTTTCAGAAATAAACTTTTTATTACTGATATATAAGTTACCTGGTTTATCCTGTGCTTTGCATGGGTTTCTCTCAACTGTCAGAGCTAAGGATCTGGCCACTTTATATCTTCCCTGATGTATCATGTCAAATCTTGTTGGGTTAATTCATCTGTTATTCTGAAGTAAAAAGTTTTGGTCCTTATTGAAGCAAAAAGTTTGATATTTTCCCCATTTTAGTTTTGAACTGTATATTGACTGCCAAGAACTAAAGCATCAGCCTAATCACAACAATGGATTTGTAGGATTCAACATTAATGTCTGAAGCTTTGTCTTTCTCTAGTTTCTATTCCCTGAATCATATTATTTCAGTTGGGCTGTCATGCCATGCTGGTCGTGAATACCAATCTCCTTGCCAAGAGGAACCTGTGCCAATCTCTTCTCGTATGTCACATGCAATTCCTGTACCCTGTGGCCAGCTGCTGGTGGATGGCAAAGGGAACACTAGGAAGAAGCAGCACCGAAGAGTTAACCGTCACAAGTCCAATGATGTGAAAATGTCCCCTACCAACTGGAGTGTGGCGGGTACCTCACAGTGGCAGTATCCAGAAGAATTGATGGTTACGGATATTAACGAACTGCGATCTCTTGATGAATTCATTTACAGAAAGGTGGACATTTTTCTTTTTAAACTTCGTTTTTATACTGCTACTTGATTATCATTTTTTTTTAGCAATATCTTATCAAGTGAGTGTTAAATAATCTGAATTTGAAATAAGAGTGAAACTGCTATTTTTTGTCTGGTTCATCAAGGTTTTCAGTAGAACTCTATGCATCATCTCTCTCTTTATTAAAAATCTGTTCTCATTGAGTTTTGACTTGTAATCTTTGTTGATCTTAAAATCAGTTATCGTGTCAAGAAATGAATTCTTTCCTTCTTTATTACTGATAATTATCTTTTAGGGTTTTATAAACTTTTACATTTTACATCAATTAACTAAATTTGAGTATTCATTGCTGCTCAAAAACAAATTTTTCATTATTTTAAGTGATTTCTCAAATTGGGTTATTACAACATCTTCAAATGTAAAATATAATAATAATGATAATTTTGCTAAAAATATGTCAATATTTGAACTCACTTTAATTTTAATATTGTCCAATCCTTTTTTTTTTTTCATTTTACAGCTGATGGACCTCAGCTTGCATTGTAGCCAAAGAGATACCATCTGTGATATAGTTTTTAAGAGATCCCTGAAAGAATTTCATCGTGACCTCACGGCCTCTCTTTCAGTGGAAATGCAGGCAAGTTCCATCTTTTATTTCTTTATAGCACTTCATATATTTATGATGAAAAAAAAAGACTGCAAAAATTGAAGATTGAAAATGAATCTTTTAGAATAATTAATCTTTTAGAATGTTTACAGTTTTTTAAAATTATAGTTCAGTTGATTTGTGGCCTTAGTATTGTAGTAAATATTTTATATTTGAGACATATTTGAAACTTTGATGTAAAATCTGTACCAGACATGAGATTAATTGCTTATAAAATATAACCAAGAAAGCTGTTGTATTTTGGAGAATCATAAACTTCTTGCATTGTTTTTTATATACAATTTTATTTTAATGATGCCTCTTCTATTGTAGAAAGATGAAGTAACCACTAGATATCGCTACAGGGACTTGATGAGTAATTTTGAGCAGGTGTTGCAAGCTCAAGTCAAGAATGTGGGCACCAATGCTGCTTTCCCTGTGACAATGGGTGTGAATGCTTTTCGAGGTTTCTTGGATGAATTTATGAAAGAGAGTAAAGAAATTAAAAGAAAAGAGAAAAAGGAAAAAAAAGTAGAAGCAAAGACTGTAAAAAAAGAACGACAAAAAAAGGACATGCTGCTGGTAAGTCTGTTTTCTTACAGTTCTACAAAAGGCTTGATTAGTAGAACATGTAACTGTCACTATCTGACGTTATTGTCAGATATAAGAAAATTATTGAATATCTGATGTTATTGTCAGATATAACAAAAGTTCTCTTCAGTCTAAAAAAAATAATTTAAAATTTTCAATTAAAATAGTATGACAATTTTAGAAATTTTAAATTAAAAAAAAACTGTGAGAAAGGAACTTTTATTGACTTAGTCTTGTCAGTTAAGTTTCCCATCTTTCTTCAGATGAATATTTATATGTAAATATTATTTTTGTGTTGTCTTTTTGAAAGACCGTTTTTCAATTGGGAATAAACAATGGAAAAGTTATTAGCTTGTATACCAAACTAAATTGTTAAAAATTCCTAATCTTGATTTCTCTTAGGCTACTTGTGAAAAAATGACCTTATCAATACTTGATGCTTTTTTGTAGGATTATTTGGGACATAAATTTCTTACTGTACAATTCAACATCCCAACATTTTGTGAGCTTTGTTCTACCATCATTTGGATTATGGAAAAGGGCTTTGTATGCCAAGGTAGGAGGTTACTTTTTTGTTTCTATTTTAACTATTTATTAGTTTGCTTTCAACAAATTAACTACAGCTCTCTCTCCAAGGGATTTCTTTTCCTGAAGTAACTTCCAAAGTTTTTTTATCAGCATAATTTTCTTGATAATGAATTCTCCTGTTATTTTACAGTTGATGAATGACATTGTAATTTTTTAAAAAAATAATAAAATTTGAAATATTTTGTATGATGCTATTTTCATTCTTGATATGACATTTTATTCTTCAGTTTGTAAATATGCCTGTCATAAAAAATGTTGTTTACGATCAACCACTCCATGTAAAGGGATCCCCACTCCTCGCATAACAGATGTAAGTTTCCATTTCATATTTAATTGTTTAAAATATTTAAGATGATTCTATGTACATATTCTAAACAATTTAGTTAAAATGTTTTCTTTCTAATTAAAATGTGTGAATTTAGGATTAATAAGCTCTGCAAACATAAGTTATGATGTGTTTATTTTAACAGTTGTATTTATGATAAAAGAAGAAATAAATAACATTTCTTTTTTTTACTTTCAAAAATATATAACACCAAACACTATTTATAGAAGTGAAATAGTGATGAAAACCAGTTTTCAGTTTAATATTTTGTAATAGATTTTGTATATTATGGAGGCAACCCTCCCTATGTCATATTCTAATATTTGATGTTACCTGCCTTATTTGGTTTAGTGTTATTAGGGTTTTTCAAACATGCTGTGTGTAGACTTTGAAAGAAGACTAAACTGATTATTTATTGATTGATAAAGTTATTTATGGCAATTTTAGCTTAATCAAATAGTTTTTTTTTATTGGTACTATTAGTTTGGTAATGTATTGAGTAAAACTCAGAAGTTTACTACTTAGTTTATTTTCATTACAATTTTCTATTCCTGTTTTATATTTTCTCTGCCCTCTCTCTGTAAAAATGTATTTGTATGAAGTCTGACTCCTTGAATTAGACATTACTTTTTTTCTTGCTTTTAGAATTTTGAATAACTTTTTTGATAACAATCTGTAATAAATCTTTTAAATTAAAAAACAATGTCCAAGCACATTTGAATTAGTTGTAATATTTTTTTTCTTCAAAACTCTTCTATTTTAATTGGCATCTGAATGATTTTTAATGTTATTTTTTTTCTCCCCTAGGGTTCAACTGGTACACAAATATTTGGCTATCCTCTTGAATCTCTGCTTAGTGAAGGAGAAAAAGTGCCTTTGGTAGCCGAGAAGTTAATATCAGCCATTGAATTGCACGGCCTGTACACTGTGGGACTCTATCGAAAATGTGGGGCTGCTGCCAAAGTGAAGCAGCTGAAGAATGCTATTGATGAAGAAGGTGCGTCACTCTAGATTTTTCAGTGCAAAACTTCTCTCATCTTTTTCCAATCCAACTTTAGTTGATTGAGTTATAAATAAATCTCAATTTAAAGAGGAAAAATCCTCTTGTGAAACTGGTTAACAAAGCATTCAAGTTATAAAAAATGAATTATTGAAGCTTATTTTCATTAAAAGTTGAGAGAGCTTCTATCAATTATCTAATTAGTTTCTTACAGCATAATTCATTTTGTTTGTTTATCTATGAGGGTCGACTGAAAAGTTCATAAGCTGACCAAGATACCCTCATGGAATGTAACCAAATGAGATTTATTTTTCAACATAATCCCCCTTGCGTTCTACATACTTCTTCCATCAGTATTGCAGTGTGCGGATCCCATTGGTGAAGAAGCTTTCATCCTATTGGTCAAAAAAGTCATCAACAGCAGATATGATGTCATCATCACTGCAATACTAGTTCCCAGCCATGTGTTTTTTCATGTTGGGGAACAGATAGTGATATGGGGCCAAATCAAGAGAATAGGGAATGGGATCAACCAGTTCAAAGTCACAGTCATGCACAGCAGCCATTGAAACCATGAGCTTGTGTGCTGAAGTGTTGTCCTGATGAAGTCCCCTTTTGTTACTTTCTTTGGGTGTTTGCTCTTGATAGTCTTTTCTAACTGCCTCAATAAGTTGGCATAGTACTCTACATTTGAAGATAGTGAATAAGCACAATCCCAAAACCACTGAAGTCATCTCCTTCCCTGTAGATGAAACAACTTTTGTTGGAATATGTGAGGAGGAGTGTTTCCACTGTATGGATTATCTCTTTGTCTCTGGCTCTAAGTGATGAACCCAACACTCCTCTTCGGTTAGGAAATATTCAAGGAAACCAGCTGGATCTGCCTCAAACAATGTCGGAATTTTCTGTAATGTGATCAACCTGTTACACTTTTGATCAGGTGTCAGAAGTGGTACCCACCAAGTAGAAACTGTTGTCATTCCAAGTTCATTGTGCAGAATGTTTTCAACTCTCTCATGAGGTATGCTAATAACATTGGCTACTTGATTTATAGTCACATTTACCTGTCATCCATCACTATGTGGTTAACATGATGTTTTCCTTGGTGGCAAGATGTCCAGACCTTGGGTCATCTTCAAGACTCTCTTTTCCCAGCTGCCCACTTTTGCACTGGTGATAAAGTTTGAGCGTCTTCTCCTAATGTCATTGGGGGCTAAATCCTTTTTCCGTAGGTACTTGATATCACCACAATGTCAAATTTTGAACATTTTCAGGAGAAGATACTATTAGTTACTTTTGAAGTCTTCTTTGAATAGTCAATGTCAGTTTCTATGGAAAGAAACAATGCAATTATTAATCAGAAGAGTTGAAATGGATGTGTGCATGATTTTACAGCTCTAGCATCACTCCTACATAGTCAGCCTATGAACTTTTCAACCCTCAGTTGTAAAGGTATTTTTATTATTTTGTTTTTATGTAGATACTGTTCTTATTATTCTGTTTCCTTTGAAATCTTTGTTCAAACTTGGGCAAAATGTTTCAATCTTTTGAACACCACTGACAAAACACATCCAGTGATATGAATTGAATGAAACAATTTGAATGGATCTTTTGCTGTTTTTAGATATAGTGTTTTACTTGAGGACTTTTAACTGAATCTTCCTGGGACTCTTAGTCTTTGCTGAAGCCATAAGAATGTCTCCATGAGATTTCACTCTGTTTATTCCAATGAAGAGGTGTTGTTTTTAAAATGGATTCCAGGTTACTTTTTGTTTTTCGATCATCTACCTGAAAACAATGTAAAAAAAATCTCTGTTCATGTTATGATTATTATTTTAATTTTTTTTTACTTTTTTTAAAGGTCCAGCTAATGTTGATTTAGATGAGTATCCTATTCATGTACTCACCACAACATTAAAGTGCTTCTTCCGGGAACTTCCGGAGCCTCTGCTCACCTATGACCTCTATGATGATTTCATTCAAGCTTCAGGTAAGTGCTTAAAATATACTTTTTTGCTAAAGATTTCCAGCATTAATCTCTATTGGCATTTGCATTTTGAACCTTGTTTATTTCTGCTCATCTTGTCTTCCATGTGGATGTGTCAATTCGCATCCATTAAGTATCAGAACTTTTAGTTTATTTCTAAAAAAAAAGATATATTTTAAGAGAATATGCATTTATTAATCTTTTTCTTCTCTACAAAAGAAATCAAGGAGTCTGTAGAAGCTATCCAGGCCTTATATGCAGTCACTGAACGTCTTCCTAAATCCAATTATCATCTCTTTGAACGTCTTATTTTTCATCTTGCCAGGTAAGGAAAGAACAAAATTGGAATTTTGTTGAACTTTCCACATTATCTTTATCTTTGTTTCTTTTTCTTATCATTTCTCCATTTTTAGTTATCAAATAACTGCAGATCCTTTGCTTAATCCTGGAAAAAATATATCACTATTTAGCTTTGTATATTTTAGAACTTAGAAGTGTAGCCTATGTGTTAAAGTTGATAAAAGTTTTTAGTGCTGGATGGTGAAACTTAATCTTTGGCTGATGACTGGAATTAAGTTTTTATTTTTTTCCTAGCTTCTAAAATTTTATATTGCAATAATGAACATGAAGGAAATTTTTTAATTTACTTGAAATGTTAATGTAATTTCATTGTCTTGTATGATATGTTTATTACTTTCTTTTATTAGAAATAGTTTGTTAACCAATGCTAGAGTAACATGCTTTGCTTGCAGATGAATTACTTCTCTTTATGGAGAATGTGCTAAACTTTTAATTTTTTATTATAATAGAAACTGTTATAACTAATTTGGTCATTGTTTTATAATAATACACATAACAGTAAAAACTTCATTTTGAACAATGCTATTAGCCAAAAATTTATTTCTGATAACTTTGATTTCAATTTGACAGAGTGGCACAACATGAAGAAAACAACAAGATGTCATCTAGTGGACTTGCTATTATATTTGTTCCTTGTCTTTTACGAACCAACAAAAAGATGCAAGCCCAAGAGTCTCTGCAACAAGTGCCCAAACAATCACAGTAAGTCAATACATTGATCATCATTCCTTTGACCAAGCATTTTTATAAATCTCATCTATCCATTTATTGAAGCATCTTGAAATAGGGTTTTTGAAGTTGACTGTAGTGTGAAGGGAAAATGCATTAAATATAAATTTAGCTTCTTTCCCACCAATGGGCCACTGCAAAGAGAATGAGAGAAAACTGAAGACATTGGGAGGTGAGTATTTATTAGATAAAAAGGGAAAATGGGTTGCAATATGAGTGGTTGGAGGATACAGGGGATGAAGTAAACTATAGATGGGCATTTTTTATTTCCAGTGTTCATATTTTTGGGCTACTAATTAGTAGATGTCAAAAGATAGGTAAGAAGAAGAGAAGAAAGCAAGTGTGTAGTGTGACACTGTTTTTTCTTTCTCCCTTTCCTTTTCTCTTGTTTCCCCCTTTTTGTCTAATGTTTAATTTACAGCAAAGTATAACACCATGGATGAGTATTGGCAATCATATTTTTACTTATTTTTCTTTCAAATCACAAACTATTTTTGTTATAGATAATGTGTAATAAAAGGTAAATGGAGAATATTTTTCCAACATGATGATCCTACCATTTGTCCATGTTAGAAAAATATTCTCCATTTACCTTTTCTTGGGAGTGTTTGTGGATGGTCCTTTTGTAGTGTAAAGGAAACTTGAGAATGTACTGTGGATATTAATGTCTGTGCCAACATCATCCGATGACTAGCAGGGTTAGCTGGTTTTGTAGGACAGAGTTGGAAAGAATTGTTAAACTAGCCTTTTTAACTGGATTTACAGTTAATACATCAATCACTTTTCAGCAATTGCCTGGGACAGAAAATATAAATGTAATTGAGCTGACAATAGCTTCCAAGGTGATTTCAACAGGTGTGTGTGGGCAGCAGCTATAGCTCAAAATTCAATGTGCTGATTGTTTTTGCCAATTAAATTTTCTAATGTTATAAATAAATAAACAAAAAAAAAAATAAAACTACATATTCAAACAATAAAATATCCTTAACTCTGTCCAGAAAATAAATCTCTTCTACATATAGAAGATAAATATAATAAAAAGCTTAATTGCAGTCAGTTATCTTCACTCAAACCTGTATAATAGAGGAATTACTGCTCAAATATACACACACACGCATATATATATATATATATATATATATACATACACTATTTTTCTTTCTACCCTTTTTGCCTGCTGAAAAAGGGCAATTAAGTAACAGCAAAGTAGAACAATGGGTGAGTGTTGAAAATTTTATTTTTTTCTTTTGCATTCAATTCACCTTTTATGAAGAATTTTGTATCTTTTTATTTTGTTTCAGCAAAAGCATCTCATTTACTATCGGTTTATTAAAATTTCATTACTGTCATTTTCATTTTTTTTTTTTTTTTTAATGCATTGCTTTTTTCTTATTACTTTAAATTTCCACATTTTAATTAAAGTTCTGAAATTAACTTTTTTCTTAACTTTAATTAAGTAGTTTTTCTTTAAATCATAAAAAATTGAAAGAATAGCATTAATTGTAACTATAATTGTAGAAACAAGAAAGTTCTTTGTTTTTTTTTTTACTCTCTCGGATTTTAAAATTTACTGAGAACTTCAGATTGACACTCATACTGTCAGCTGTTGTTTATCTTTGCAACTGTCACTCCATTGCATGGTTTTGTCAATTGATTTCTGATCTCACAAAAACAATATCCAATGTTATTTTCAAAATTCTTCAAAAAGATTGCCCCTGCCCAAGAATTGCTTTTTTAACTTAGCTAATAGTTGTATTCAATTTTCATTTTGCCTACACCACAATTTGGTTCCAATCAGTGGAAAGGAAAGTATTTATCCAAATTGTAAAGTATAAATAGTATAGCTTAAAAGAAAATATTCAATTACACAGACAACAATTTTTGTCAAAATTAACTTTACTATAAATCACTTTGGTTCTCCTCTAAATTGTTATATTATTTCAATATTGTCTAAGAATTCTCTTTTTCTCATACCAGTTAAACTTTTGTTGAATTAAATATGCAAATCACCAGATATTTAATAGCAATATACAGATCCTGGAAACCTTGAAATGTTCTGGAAAATTAATAGGACCTTTTCAAGGGCTTGAAAACAGCAATAGCCCAATAGCTCCTTGAAAAGTGCTGGAATTTTCTAGCTTGGGCTGCCTACACATCCTTTTTCTCAAGTCATAAAAGTCTTTTTTGCAAGTTATAATTGTCCTTTAAGGAAAATGTTTTTTTGTTTTTTTTTATACTTGTCAGTAATATTTGGCAATTATTGCTAATAGTGGTTTGTTTCCTTGATTAAACCTCATAGTTACTTCTGTATATTTCTCCTCTAGGTGACAAGAAAGATAGGGAGAAAGATACTAATGACTCCTAGACATTTGGCTAGATGTCATTAAATTTGTGAACTTACTTAAAAAAAACAAAAAAAAAACTGGAAAATGTCCCCAAACCAATTCCTTCTCTGTGATGCTCCCAAACATGAATGGTATTTTATTTCCAGTGAAATGCAGATTTTTTCGCCCATTTCAAAAGACATTAAACTATTTCTGATAATATATCAGAGTGATAAACTGTTGCTTCCTTTCCTTGCAGATGATCTTTTTTAGCAAGATCATGAAACTGTTATGATTTGTAAAGGAAAACTGCACTAAACAGATAATTCAGTCAGTCAGTTAAGTGCCACACATAATACACACTTGGCCAATCATGTATCTTTCAATACATGACTGATAAGGCAGAAAACTTTTCCTGTAGTAAGTTACCATTTCTTTCTATGTTAGACTGGTTTCCAACCAAGACTAAAGAACCCATTCTGTCCTGCTATTCAACCCATAGCTGGCAGGAGAAGGGATGGATTCATATCTTTCCCATGGGTATTTATGCGTAAGTGAATATAATGAAGTTGACTATGAGTCAAATTCGGCTCTGAGTTCTCATTCTGAGCTGATATCCATTGCACCAGAACACATTTTCCAAACTGAATGAATATGTAAGAATTTTGTTAAGCCCAAACATGCATAAAGATGCTGCAAAGATCGAGTGTGAATTTCTGGCGGATAGGGCTATAAAAAATTTATCCAAAAAAAGAAATGTGTCAACAAAATATCTGTTTGTCTTTGTCACAATTCCCCAATCAATGTTCATCACCATCATTGAGAAACTTCTGGAAAAGTCTCCCTTTAGATACCCTCTTGTATGGTTACTTGCATCGCTTAACCCTTGGTCCATTTGTGAAAAAAAAAATCTGTCACAGAAGACAGTCTAAAAAGATGTCTTTCTCACATGATAGACAGAAAACAAGAATTTTGGCAAGCATGAAGACTGTCTGGACACTTTGTTCTCCTCTTCTTTGTCTAGAAACAAACTGTGGGAAGTTGTTTGCTGGTACTTTCAGGGCTCAGTAGAGAGGTTTCTCAGTCAAAGAAATTTCCACTGACAATATGAAATAGCAGACTCTGGATGCACAGCGCATTATCATGGACTATTTAGCTGCAGTTGGAGGTGCTGGGAATGTTCCCATGACTTAAGGCTCCTTTCTTCAGTGATTTCAATGCCAGAACAACAAACAACCAATACCTTGCAGCTGAAAAGAAAAAAAAGCAGGAAGAAGCCGCTGAACAAAAATGGAAATCCATGCTTATGGAAATTGAAGAACTGAAGACCAAAAAACACAAGCTTGAATTTTGCACACAAGATTTGCTCAAGTCAGCTGACAGAATTGCAGAGAGCACTGAACAGACTCAGTTCACACTTACTGCAAAGTCCAATGCCATGTGAAGATCTGCAAAAACAAGTCCATAAAGATATCCAAATCAGAAGAAGAGCTGAATGCTAAACTAGATGAACTGAAAAAAATGTTAACATTGTTGTTTTCTGTGTGATGTGCAACAAAAGCCAGGAGTAGTAGGGATAGCTAAAATGTGTAGTCTTTTTGTAAAAATTTCTATTTGTAGTTTTGTTCATTAAAACCATTATACTTAACTTCATAGGAAATGTGCAGCAATCAAGAAATTTTGTGACAGTCACAAATCATGAGACTAGATAGCTGAAATGTATAGCGGTAAGAATTAAAGTGTAATTCAAAATTTTCATGTGTAGAAGAACTCTAAACTGAATAGAATGCTACACAAAATGTGAAATATAACCAGGTCTGCATTCAGCTATGTTTTGGCCTTCAATACTTTGATTTCGTCACTACTTTCAACAGATCCATGTGACATGAATTATTGGATCCAGCTGTAGCTTTTCTGTGAAGATCTCCTCTGTCAAACTATTAAAAGATAAATCACAAAATTTGTTTTTTTTTTAAATTGATGACCATTCACTTTGTGTGTGCTCACACACATCACTTTCAGTCCTTGAAACTTTTTAACATAGTCCTGGAATTTTTTTCTACATATCTGTGGGAACCTTGATACCAGTCAAACTGAATGCTGCTGATGTTGTTTATGGCTGTGAGATCTGAGTGACATCAGCTTATGCCACACTGAAAGAAAGTGTTTCACAAAAAGAGAAATTCTACACAGGTATAAGTAAACTTAATTAAGAACAAAAAACAGAAATCAGTGTTTTAATGGGGATTTTAAGGAGACCTCAAGTATTTTTAAATGCAACTGCTCCTTTGATGGTAAGAAGATTTCACCCTTTGAAATGGAACCTCAAACAGCAATGATTAACTGTTAAACTTTTTGTTACTCAAAAAGATATTCCATCCTTAACACATGGTTTGACAATCCCATGAAACACTGCATCATGTCATAGTCCAGATAATGTAACAAAAAAGATTGACTTCAGCATCTCAACTTTGAATCTAATCAAAGACTACTTGTAACTAAACTGATAACACCAGCCAACAAAATAGTTTGCTTCTACCCACATAAACTATTAAAAAAAAAACCCTGAGATATAACATCTAAGCCTTTAAAAATGAAAGGGTAAATTTAGAATTCAGCAATAAAGTAGAGTTGAAATTGATGTCAATT